CGCATCTGAGATTCGGAGTTTCTTAGATCTCGCAGGGTATTATCGGAGATTTATCAAGGATGTCTCCAAGATTGCAGTGTCTTTGACCCGTTTGACGAAGAAGAATGTGACCTTTCGGTGAGGGCCTGATCAGCAGTTGACTTTTGAGACTCCAAGGCAGAGATTGTGCAAGGCCTTGATTCTCGTGCTCCCTAAGGGCATGGATGATTTCGTCGTTTATTGTGACGCCTCTATTTCGGGTTTGGGAGCGGTTCATATGTAGAGGGGTCATGTGATTACTTACTCTTCAAGGAAGCTGAAGCCTCATGAGGCGAACTACCTTACGCATGATTTGTATTTGGGGGTCGTGGTTTTTTCCCTCAAGATTTGGAGACACTATTTGTATGGGGTTCGGTGTACTATCTATACTGACCAAAATAGTTTCAGGTATTTGATGGACTAGCCAAATGTAAATATGTAACAATGGAGATAGTTGGATGTGGTAAAGGATTATGATTGTGAGATCTTGTACTACCATAGGAAGGCCAATGTGGTGGCCGATACTTTGAGCCAAAAGACCGTTAGTACATCTATATGTGATACCTGCTTGAGGATGATTGTCACTTCGCCTTTGATGAATTTGATCAAGAAGGCTCATGTAGAGGGGTTAAAAAAGGAAAAGTGGAAGACCGATCGAATCATATGACAGTTTCCCTTATTTTTCAGAGACAACCGAGGTTTGTTAACTCAGTGTGGTAGAGTCTGGGTTCCGACATCAGATGTGGTGAGATAGACTATTTTAGAGAAGGTGCATAATTCAAAGTTTTCTATCCATCCAGGGGCCATGAAGATGTACAAGGATCTAAGGTTGAGTTATTAATGGCTCTGTATGAAGAGGGAAATAGCGTGGTTTGTGAAGCAGTGCTTGACTGGCAAGAAAGTTAAGGTCGAGCATCAGAGACCCCATGAAAAAATGCAACCCTTACCCATTCCCATATGGAAGTGGGAAGAAATTACCATGGATTTCATCACAAATTTGCCAAGGATGGCACATGTTTTTGAATCCTTCTTGGCCATTATTGATAGGTTAACCAAGAGTGTATATTTCATACCAATTGCCGAGAGTATATCCGTAGAGAAGTTAGCGGAAATCTATGTCCGGGAGGTAGTACTTCGACACAGAGTGCCAGTATTGGTGATTTCGGACTAGGATGTTCGTTTCACCTCCAAATTTTGGAGGAAGTTTCATGAGGAGTTGGGTACTCAATTGCACTTTAGTACAACATACCACCCTCAGACCGGTGGCCAGAGCGAGTAGACGATTCAGACGCTCGATGATATGCTCCGACCTTGCGCATTGGATTTTGGAGGGAGTTAGGATACTTAACTCCCACTGGCGGAGTTCTCCTACAACAATAGTTACCATGCCAGTATTGACCGAGTTGGGATACTTACCTCCCACCATTTGAAATGTTGTATGGAAGAAGGTGCAGGACTCCGATTTGCTGGGGGAGGTTGGGCATCGAGTCATGGGTAGTATAGGGGTTGTACTCAAGACTATTGAGTTGATTCAATAGGTGCGCGACAGGTTATGGGTTGCATAAAGCTGGTATAGGAGTTATGCAGATCGGCGACGTTTGGATCTTGAGTTTCAGGTGGGAGACTTGGTGCTTCTGAAGGTGTCACCTTGGAAATGTGTCATCCAATTCCGGAAGCGGGGCAAGCTGGGCTCCAGATTTATTGATCCTTTCAGGATTTCAGCCCGGGTAGGAAAGGTTGCATAACGTCTAGATTTTCCCGATGAGCTCAGCCAAATCCATAACACCTTCCATGTGTCTCAGCTTTGGAAGTGTGTGACTGATGAGTCCGCAGTTGTTCCTCTGGATGACATTCAGGTTGATGATCGTCTGAATTATGTGGAGACACCGGTGGCGATTTTAGATCGAAAGATGAAGGCTCTACACAACAAGGAAGTGTCACTTGTTAAGGTCCAGTGGCAACATCGGAAGGGATCCGAATGGACGTGGGAGCTTGAGGCGGAGATGCGAGAGCACTACCTAGATTTATTCTCAACGGCAGACTTCGAGGACGAAATCTAGTTTAAGTGGGGTAGAGTTGTAACATCTAATTTTCATGTATTCGTTTTAAACCTTGAGTTGTGCTTTAATTGCAAGTTTAGTCGCCGGTAGCAATTTATTAATTTTGGAGTCAGCTGAGTACACGAGGCGTACACCTTCGTAAGTAGGGCGTACTCCAGATCGCATTAGTACGTTGAGTGTACATTAGTACGTCGGGCGTATGCAGCTAGGGTGTAAACCCAAAATTTTAGGGTTTGGACCATATTTAAACACATTTATGGCCACATGTACCTTCTTATCTTCAGCCTCCTTCCTCATTTCGAAACCCTAAAGAGTGTTTGTGCATTGTGAAGCTTCTTGAGCCATTTTTTTGTGCCATTTGGAGCTTTTAGAGTAAAAGGAAGAGCATGGAGGTGGTGGTGTTTCACTCAAGACTTTGGATCCAACATCTTGCTCCCCTTGTGCACCTTGCGGAGGTAAAAAGCTTCAACCTTGTTGTAGAAGTCTTATGGATCTAGTTTTAGCTCAAATTTCTTTCCTTTTTTGTCCTAAACTTGGTCTTTGTGAGTAAAAGGTACTCCAAGGCATTTGAGTTGTCCTTTCAGAGGTTTTGAGGGGTGTTAAGTAATAGAGTTAGTTTTTTGGTCACTAGTTTCTCTCCATGCAAGTGCTAGATGGTCATAATGGTTAAGAAACTATGGTTTGTGCATTTAAGCTCTTAATAGCCTTGCTAAACCATAAAGTTGGAAACTTTATGGTTAAGAACATCATTTGTTGTCTAGATCTGAAGTTTAGATGTAATTGATTAAATGATTAAGCACTTAATAAGAGAGGAGGTGAGCAGTCGCGTACGATGGGCGTACCGAGAGGTACGTTGCGTGTACAAGGCCTGCTCCCCAATCCTCGGTCAACTGCAAAGTACGCCCCACGTACAAGAGGAGTATGCCCCACGTATTAGTTGAGTCTACCCGGTTGACTCGGTTAACTTTGACCTGGATTTTGACTAGGGTTTGACCTCGGGGTATTTTAGGTATTCAAATGATAGTTTGAGTTGTGGTTGTTGTTATTCGTAAAGGTGACCAGTAGCGTGGGTTTCAGAGCAGCGTGTCATTTCAGCTTTTCATATATCAGTGAGATGAGTCTTCTTACCACCTTAAGTGGGTCGAAGGCACCAAGGTCGACCTACTATATTGTATGAGTATAATGTACGTTATTTTATGACTTTAACTAATGTGATTGCATGATTTATGTATGGAGCTAATCTGGGCTCGGAGTCATTATGGACTCGAAGTTGATATGGACACGGGGGTTGATACGGACCTGACACAACTACTTGATTTTATTTTGGTTTGATACGTTGATATGGACCGGGCACAGCCACGTGTTGTTATATTATATGTATGTTGTATGTGGTAATTTGAGAAGCTCACTAAGCTTTATGCTTACTATTATGTTTATGGCTTTAGGTACTTCCAGTTCAAAAGGCAAGAGTCCAATGTGATGACACAGCATCCTCCCCATATGATTTTCACACTTTATGTTTTTTTTTTTTTTTTTTTGAAAGGGAACTTCCCTAACGAGGGTTTTCGGGCCAGCTTTCGCGCACCGACTAATCCCCCGCTGCAAACATAAAACTTTGCCTCATGCCCTGGAATCACTTCAGGCGAACCTCCATAACCACAAGGGCTGAGTGGTGCCATGATTTGAACATGGGTTAATAGGTTATCCACCATATGATTTTCACACTTTATGTTTTTATACTCTTATGTTTTGGGTTACTATAATGAATGATGACTTTGGGTACAATCAATGAATGAAAATTAATGGTTTTAAATGAAAATTTTTAGTTTTGTTTTTGGGTTGTTACACTAATTGTGCATTTTGACATATACACGAGGTACAAATGGTATACTTTACCTTAAAGTTTTTTAATTTTTAAGAATGTGATAAATAAATTTAACTTGTATCCAAAAATTAATTATTTTTCAAAAAGTTCAATCAATATATATATATATATATATATATATATATATATATATATATATATATATATATATATATATAATGAGACTACTCTGTGCACCCTACTAATTTGTATCTCTGAACCGATTTAACGCACATGTTTTATACTCGGTTTACAATAACAATTTTTGTCTATCATATTGCACGGGTACACAACTATTGTGTGTGTGTGTGTGCGTGTGTGTGTATATATATATATATATATATATATATATATATATATATATATATATATAGTGTTAGGTTCATGTGAGACGACCTAATTTTGTGAGACCGTGAGAAGCATTTTTTTAATTTTTTTTAAAATTTTTTTAGTTAATTCAAGTTCCAAAAATAATATTTAAAAAAAGAATTTTTTGATTTTTCCATTTATTTTGCATTTTAAAACTATTTTTAGAATACGTACAGTGTAATATTCTATTTAGAATATTTCACGTATTTTTCAAAAAAAAAATAGATTTTTTTTTTTATTTTTTAGTTAATTCAAGTTCCGAAAATAATATTTAAAAAAAGAATTTTTAGATTTTTCCATTTATTTTGCATTTTAAAATTGTTTTTTAGAATATGTCAGTGTAATATTCTATTTAGAATATTTCACGTATTTTTAAAAAAAAAAACGAGATTTTTTTTTAATTTTTTTTAGTTAATTCAAGTTCCGAAAATAATATTTAAAAAAAAAAAAAAAATTTTTGGATTTTTCCATTTATTTTGTATTTTAAAATTATTTTTAGATTTAGTCTCACGGTCTCACAAAATTAGAATGGTCTCAAATGAACCTGAACCTATATATATATATATATATATATATATATATATATATATATATATATATATATATATATATATATATATATATATATATATATATATATATATATATATATATATAGAGAGAGAGAGAGAGAGAGAGAGAGAGAGAGAGAACAAAAGACACTCCATGCATCTTTTTTTTCCACATATTTTCAAACTATACAATTCATCACACACATTTTTTGAGATCTTTTAAACAGTTGGAGGGCAATGGCGATGTTCTCGATCCATAGTAAACACCAATAGTTCCTTACGGATGTGATTCGGTTTTTGAGGTTTTAGGTAGAAGACCCTTTTTCCCATGTCAAGATTTTCACAAGCCTTTCATCTAAATGTGGCTCGATATATAACTACTGTGATTGCGAATCTTGGGCCACAATAGTATTCTTTGTCATATAAAAGGGTTTTGGAGAGTCTATTGAAATAATTGTAGGAGGTATAAGCTCAAAGGCTTTGACACCTTCAACATATGTTCCTATACACATTGTGTCCCCTCTACCATGCCAAGTCCCATCTTGAACATTGTTCATTTCCAATGTCCTTGATTCCTAATCAAGATATAACACAAATATAAAAAGATTCATTTTAGTATTTTTCATATGGGTTAAATCTATAATGCGCATTTATTCAAGACAATGTTTCATATTTTCCCCAATATTGTCACAAAATGAAACGTTTGTATAAAAAACAACTTTGTTGCATAATGATGAAATTAACCTACAAAATTGGGACCCACAAAATAAAGATGAGCAGAAAACAAACCTGAGCCAAGGTGCAACAAGGGCAAATGAGATGGGATACACAATCATCTAAAGAACCATCACTACCCTGAAGAAAGAAAACAGATGTATGAATCAATGTTGCATGATTAGGAACACTCGAGTATACCCTTTGACTTTTGAAGTCAAAGCTAGTGGATTTCAGATGCAAAATTGTGAAAACTTCTTTAAAATGATTAATACCAATGTTCAACTTGTTTGTGTTGCTTGCACTAAAGTTGGACTAGGAAATCTAGTATTTCAAAAAAAAAAAAAAAAAAAAAAATTGTGGATCCTAAATTTTTTGAAGCTGAAATGTAATCTACTACTTGACCTATAAAGTCAAAGGGTACCTCATTTTCAAGAAAATTGATATTTGAATTAATGTTGCAAGATTTGAAACACTCAAAGACTTTTAAAGTCAAACCTAGTTCATTCTTGGTTGTAAAAATGTAAGGTTTCATTAGAATCTTAACACAAACATAAGCTTGTTATAGCTTGTTATAAAGTATGACAACACTTATTCCATATTCCAAAAAAGAATCATAGATCTGCTTGTTTGACTTACAAAGTCAAAGTGCATCTTGTTAAAGTCAAACACAGAATGTTGAAATGTGAAATCATACGATTTTCTCATAAGATTTAAACGAATGCATCAGTTTCTTTGGAAATAATTATTCCACACTTCAAAAAAAGATAGTAGATCATATCAAAATCAAAGTCAAACTATAGCCTATTTGACCTATAAAGTCAAAAATTTTACCTTGATATTGAACTTGTTTCTCATTTTGGAGCGATAAAATCCCATATAAGTTCCTAGGGAGAGTGCAAAAAATACTCCAAGATACAAGAAACAATGCTTCTTTGTGACTGCAAATGCTACAATGTTGCAAACAGCAATTCCAGCTAGGATTGCATACATGAATCCCTGTGGGACCCATTGCAAGAATATATTAGAAATTCAACATATGCATAAGGATATATCATATATGGACCAAATATAAAATTTGTGATCCATGAACACAATTTGTACAATAAAATCAACCATGAAAGTATTTTTGTGGTAAAAAAACTAGTTTAATTAACATAAAATGGAGATTATATGTGTTTACCTGAAGAAAGCAAGAACCAAAACCAGCAAGTCTCATGTTTTCTCCAAATCGATACCATGGGCAACTGCAAAATAAAGCATTTGTAGGTTTTATTAGATTATATCTCCTTGAATATTAAGCTTTGTTCATTACTAACATCTTTAAAAGAAACAAGGGTTGACATTTTAAAGTCAAAACAGGATGTTCTTTCCAGTTTCCAAAGACTTACTTCTACCATCTAACAGTAAATTGGAATCAGTTTTTTTTTTTTTTTTTTTATCAAAAAAGTTTTAACAATCAAAAAACTATATTTTGATTGTTAAAAGTCAAACGAGAAGTTCTTACAAAGATGTTAAAGCTATCATCAAACAAAATATTTGAATCTTTTTCGAAAGGTTTCTTGCAAAAATTAAAAATACAAAGACATTATAGCAATCATCAAGCACAAGTATTTATTTCAACGGGTTTCTTAAAAAAAGGAGGAGAGAGACTTACAAGGATGATTGAAGAACCAATCTACGATCATCATAACAGTCAAGAAGATCGCCTTCCCACATCCTGAAAACACCTCCTCCAAATTCTCCACCATCTTCTTCGTAATTCTCTTCCAATTTATTCCATTTCCCCTGATTCGTCTTCATCGCTACCGTCGAACATAATATATCAAAATCCAACACCGGCACCCGCTCAATCAATCGCTCTTTCTCCTCCTCCTCAACCACCATCGCCACCGCCGCACCAACCTGTTTCTCAGAATCCGCCATCATCTCTCTCTCTCTCTCTCTCTCCCTCTGCCTACTCTGTATATACAATCCTTCAAGGTTTTTGCTTATTCCAAAAGCCCTAAATACACATGTGTATATACAACTTGCAGAGAGAGAGAAAGAGATTGAGTGGATAATTGATTCCTTTGTTTCTTAATGAAAATGATTTGTGTTTCGCGATGATTTGTGGAAGAGGGTTTGTGGGGACGGGTGATAATGATTGGAAACAGCTGGTGACACGTAAGAATGGTGGTTATCCAAGTCCAAATCAATGGAAAATGGTTTTACTCGCTTTCCATTTATAGGAGGTTTAATTTTGGAATTTAGGGTTCTTGAGACCTCTGTCAATGACCACAGTGTTCGTTGACCCGAAAAACATCCCTTTTCTTGATTTTGACCGCATTTTAAATAACCCGAAAAAGGTTAGAACCAAAGAACGTTTGTCAAGAACATAATCACAATCTATTCATGAATAGTTAATTAAATTGAAATTATATTTTCCAGATTAAATGGATGTGTGGGCTATATTTTTTTCTTCTTCCAGTATAAATATAAAGTAGCGAATATTATAATGTCTTCACTGTTTATATGGATGAAATATAATGTCTTCATTATTTACTTTGGTGAAATATAGGGGAAAATTAGAGACGATTAATCGGTCCGATTGATGCATAAATCATTTTATTGGATTGTAATCTCCTTACCTGTTTGTTTCTGTTTCTGTATATCTCTATAGTACTCAACTCCTAGCATCTTGCTGGTAGTTCTCATTTTATTTTTAATATATATATATATATATATATATATATATATATATATATATATATATATATATATATATATATATATATATATATATATATAAACTTAAAAGGTTAATTAATCAGTTTTTTATTTGGTTAGTCTTAAATTAGTAAATACATCTTAAACATGAACTTTGGAAGTCTCATAATCAAAAATATCTAACAAAATAATAAATAAAAACATAAACTTTCTTTTGAAACGGTAGAATTTTATAAGACTAGTAAGAAGCTAGAAATGAGCAATTACATCAAAGTTTTAGACTAAACAGGATTATGAAAACAAAAACTCCAGCTAATCTTGGTTTTAGTGTGCCTGTTAGAAATCTAAAAAAAATGTTCTATAAACTACATCATCAAAAAGCAAGGATTTCCTTTGTGTAGCCGCTCCAAATATGAAAAAAATTTTGAAGTTTCAAATACACCAAAAACAAGTCAAATTACTGTATTGAAAGCCTTCCGTTAACCAACTCTCAAGGAGATAGGATCTGACCACAAAATAAGAGACTCAATAGAAAGCTGATGAGGAACTAGAAGATCCTACCAAACAGCAATGCGAGACCATAAAACAATCAATTCGGTACAACCTACAAAAATTGTGATCAATTGTCTCCACGCTTCCAAAACATATATGGTAAGTAATCAAGTCTACCATAATACCCCTATGAGAGAGACGCTCTCTAGTAGGAATATTGAAAAGCTGAATTCTCCAAATAAGAATGTTAATCTTAATTGGGATCCAATTATTCCGCTTGGTCTCCGGACCTTCACACGCAAGCATAGCACCATCCATATATCTCCAAGCAGAAGAGACATAAAAAGTATTTGAGATGTCGATATCCAACCCAATTTATCTGGGATAGAATTGAGTTGGATGTCCTGCAAAAAAAGAAGCAAGTAATCCCACTGCTCCTGCATAGCAGCTCCTCTAGGAAACCTTCTAGGAGTGTTTGGTTCCTAACCCCTAAACATTCAATCACTTACAGACGCGTGTTGATAAAGATCCATAGCAAAGACTCTAGGGAACCTAACCTTATGAGGCTCATTACACATCCAAGCATCATGCCACAAAGTCGTAAAACCCCTATCGCCCACTCTAGTAGGACAAAAAGACTGGATATCGATACCTTTCTCTCTCAGCCGACTGAACATGTGGAGAACCCCATACCAAGGACCTCGACCGACTCTTAGAGTCAAAGAAAAATTACACCCACCATCAGAACCATACCGAGATTTTATAACTTGAACCCATAGGAGATTAGGGTAATGAAAAAATCTCCACCGCCAACAAAAAATCATAGCTCTATTGAAAGAGAACAAGCTCCCGATCCCCAAACCGCCTTCATCCCCAGAGGCTAGAACTTTATCCCATCTAACCCAATACATATGCATCTCATTCAAATCTGTACCCCAAAGAATCTAGCCCTCAACCCTTTTAGGGAGGTCAAAACCGAAATAGGAGAAAGAAATATAGACATCATATAACTTCCTATCGAGCCCAAAACTGATTTCACCAACGTAAGACGCCCTCCAAAGGAAAGGCATTTGGCCTTCCATCCCGATAATCTACTCCGAAAACGATTTAGGACAAGGGACCAAGCCGTAATATGGTTCATATTATGCCCTATAGGAACTCCAAGATGAAAGAAAGGCATATTAGAAGCCGCACATCCGATCCGGTAAGCAACACTAGAAACTTGGGTGAAAGGAACACCCACACCAATCAATTTGCTTTTAAACAAATTGATTATGTTCCTAGACACTAGAAATTTAGGTGAAAAGAACACCCACACCAATCAATTTGCTTTTAAACAAATTGATTTTGTGCCTAGACGCCATATAGAAACACCGAAGAATGCGTATAAAACGATTTACATTCTCATGATCCCAAGACGAAACCAGTATGACATCATCTGCATAAAGAAGGTGCGAGATCTCAACACCTGAAATAGAAATCCCCCTGAACACATTAGCCAGTTGGGCCCCAACCAAAGCAACATGAAGACCCTCCACCGTCCGCAACAGAAAGCATGAACTGTAACTGAACCAAAAAATCAAAGATTTTACCGGTTCGGTTAACAAAACCGGAAAATTCAAAAATACCAATTTGGTTAACCTGAAAATCAGTTCGGTTTTTCGGATATTCTGAGCACCCCTAAACAGCATCAAGGGGTTTCCAGACTACTTACTCCAATCAACTATTTCATTTAGGAGAAAATAATCATTCAAAATATGTCTAGTTTTGACAAAAGCAGAGTACTCAATACTGACAATTTTGTTAATGACCTTTGCAAGTCTATTGACTAACAATTTACCAATAATTTTGTATTGGCGACCAATTAAACTAATAGGCCTAAAATCTCCCGCCGTTATCTAATGTTTGGCCCATCTTCTTCGTAATTCTCCTAAATGAAGTAGTTTGTTTTGTATCATTTTGTATCGCAATCAAGACTAACTTGTTTGTTTTTTACATTTGGCTCAAACAATACGTTTGTATTCACAACCAATTAAACGCCTCCTCTAATTAGACTAATAGGCCTAGAAACATAGATTGTTACATTCCTTTCAACATTTGGTCGCCTGAGCATCTCGTTTTGTTTGCATTTCAAGCTTCTTGCTAATTTTGTTGTTTTTTTTTTAATAAAATCATGTTAGTTCATAAAAAAAAAAAGTAAAAGCTTATAGATTTTAGCTTTTAAGAAAAAAAAAAGTGTTTGATAGTATAAGCTTCTATCTTTAAGCTAAAACAAAAAATCTTCAAATTCAAAAATTATTTAAATAATGTTTAACAAAAAACTTATTCTAATTTTGCAAATTCACTAAATTATCATTTAAAAAAAATCAATTGTGCGTATTAGATAACTCATTTTTATGTAATTTTACATTTTGCCAAGCACTTATATCAAGGTTGTTAAGATCCAGATGGAGGGGGGGGGGGGGGGGGTCCTAGGCCACTAATCGACCTTCGACTCGCCAAATTGGTCCCGTTTTGTATTCCATGATCTCATGACCCTACTCGACGAGTTGACATCCCAACTCGCCGAGTCCATGCATAAATCCTTTCCAATTCAAACGAGGTGTTACAGTTTACAATTTGGTGAAATATAGGGGGGGTTTAGGAATTGTAACCGAGTGATTTCGTGTTGTAATCCTTTTTCGATTGTGTAATTGTTGTTTTTGGCCCCTTCTTAGCCTTTTTCTAGGCAGTGGTTGTTAATAAAATTAGGGATGAGCAAAAGGACTGGGGAACCGGCCGGAACCGGTCCTGGAACCGGCACCCGATGGAACCGGTCGGGCCGGGACCTATACTACAAATTTGTGATTTTTTGGAACCGGGACCCGGAAAGAACCGGCTATTGGAACCGGCCCAAAACCGGGAACCGGCCCGACTTGCGATACACACAAAAACGCACGACGGCGACTAACTCAAAACAAAAAAAAAATGCATTATGCGATCGTTTTTTTGGGACTTGCAAGTCACGGCCACGATCCCAACTTGGAGCAAACGATCGAACCCTACTATCTTCAACAATCGGCAATCACTTCATCATCATTCAATTGATCAATTCTTCATCTCCAAGTTTCCAATGATTACAAGTTTCCATCTCCAAGTTTCAATCAATCTTCAATTCTTTATCATCATTCATTGATTTTCAATTTTTCATCTTCAATTGCTTCAATGATTCAAACTATGGATGTTCATGAAGATCAAGTAAGAGCATATATTTATATTTCATGTTTTAAGATTATATACTTCAATATTAGCTTCAAATCTTCAATGCTTCAATGATTCACCAAATAATGGCATGCATGCAAGTTTTTTTTCTTTGGTTTTGTTGTCTCCATTCCAAATATATGCATTGTTATCCCTACTTAATTAAAAGATCTTGATTTTTGATCATAGTCTCATAGTGGAGTACTCCTTTACGGATGAAAGGTTGTACATATAATATATGTTTCATGTTTTAAGCTCCATTTAACAATGTACTTTGTAGACATACATGCAAAATTTTTGTTAGATTAGTTTATTGTTTATAGTATGAATGTAATTATGTAAGATTGTCAAAACTACGAATTTGTATAGTACTTTTGTTATATAATTAATGTGTAAAATTGACATTGTAGGATTTGGATGGGCTACCAAATGTACCATCATCAAGATACCGAAACTCGGATGCTCATGATGCCAATAATGAAGATGGTAATCCGGCTAATTGGATTGGAAAAGACTTTGATGACCAAGTAAGATTAGTATTTAGCTCATTAGCAATATTTATTTCTTTAGCAATCTGTCCAAATATTAAATTGTGCATAACTCGTTCAATTTAATTTGTTTTGACCTGAATCTTTTTCCTACATGTAGATTAGGATTTGTAGTTGAGTTTAGACTATAAAAACGCTTGATTTGGTTAAAAATTGAATGAGTTACAAGCCCCGTAAGGAAGGGTGTCAAATCTGAATTTTTTTTTCTAACAGCAATATAACGTCATGTGATTTTGTTGTTCAAATGTGCATAACTCATTCAATTTAACTTGTTTTGACCTGAATATTTTTCCTACATGTATATTAGGATTTTTAGTTTAATTTAGACTATAAAAACGCTTGATTTGGTTAAAAATTGAATGAGTTACAAGCCCCGTAAGGAAGGGTGTCAAATCTGAATTTTTTTTATATTTATTTTTCAGCATTTAAACGTAATATACTAATATGACTTATTATATGTTTTATTTTGTGAATATAGGATTATGGAGAAGATTCAGAAGAAGATTATATAGAAGAAACACCGGCATTGAATGTTATACCAAGTGATGAATCAAACCAAGAAGAGGAGCCACAAGAACAACAACCTTCAAAAAAACGAAAATTTGCAACCACATAAAAACAAAGACAACCAAAAAAACCAACACAAACAAAAAAACCACCACCACCACAAAAACGAACACAAGAAAAATACCCAACAAAACCAAAACCCAAAAACAAATAAAAGACTCAAAAGGAGTTAAGGGACCGGATTAACCCAACCAGACGAGGTGAGGGTAGAGATAATTGTACCGCTCCTGTTTGGAAATACTTCGAGATCGAATGGATAAAGGAGGACGATGGAATTGAAAGAAAGTGGGCCGAATGCAATTATTGTTTACATTTACTAGCCGCAGATCCAAACCGGAATGGTACAACTTCAATAAACAAGCATTTTAATGGGTGCAAGTTAAATCCAGACAACATACCGAAACAAGTTGATGACAAACAACAAAAGTTGTCATTTACGAAAGCTCCTAATGGTGAGGGTCATGTATACACATGGAAACATGATGATACTAGGATCCAACTTGCCTTGCTAGGGCTTTTCACCATTGGGGAACTACCATTTAAATTCATTGAAAACGAGGCATTCATAGAATTTGTAAACGCCCTTAATGGTAGGGTGAAATTGCCTTCAAGGCATAAAATTTCTCGTGATGTTGTGTCATTCTATTTAATGGAGAGGCAGAAGTTGTAAAACATTTGAGCAACCCCAAAACAGCCATCCACTTGACAACCGACACGTGGACATCCTCGTGTCAAAAGATAAATTATATGGTTGTCACGGCCCACTTCATTACCGAAGATTTTGTCATGCACAAAAGGGTAGTCAACTTTAGAGAGGTTGATACTCACAAAGCTGAAGACATGGCCCGAGAGTTGCTAATTTGCATAAACGAGTGGGGGATGAAGAATGTCATGACGATGACCGTTGATAATGCCAAGACAAATGACGCGGCAATCAACATCATTGTGAAAGAACTACCGGGTATTTACGAGAATGGCAAACATTTTCACATTAGGTGTATGGCTCATATCATAAACCTAGTTGTGAAAATGGGGTTAAAACACGAAGTTTATCATGTAAAAAACCTACAAGATGCGGTGAAATACATTAGAGCCTCCCCGCAACGGATCAAGACGTTTAAACAAGCCATGAAGGATGCGGCTGTAGAAAGTCAAAGGTTTTTGTGTGGTGAAACTCCAACAAGGTGGAACTCTACCTTTGAATTGCTAAGATCAGCGTACGATGTGAAAGACGCATTTCTCGAATATAGCCATCAAGGTAAATAAAATCAATTAATCAAATATATTTCAGCACTAAAATTAGCAATATTTATTTCTTTAGCAATCAGTCCAAATATTAAATTGTGCATAACTCATTCAATTTAACTTGTTTTGACCTGAATCTTTTTCCTACATGTAGATTAGGATTTGTAGTTGAATTTAGACTATAAAAACGCTTGATTTGGTTAAAAATTGAATGAGTTACAAGCCCCGTAAGGAAGGGTGTCAAATCTGAATTTTTTTTTCTAACAGCAATATAACGTCATGTGATTTTGTTGTTCAAATATGCATAATTCATTCAATTTAAATTGTTTTGACCTGAATCTTTTTCCTACATGTAGATTAGGATTAGTAGTTGAATTTAGACTATAAAAACGCTTGATTTGGTTAAAAATTGAATGAATTACAAGCCCCGCAAGGAAGGGTGTCAAATCTGTTTTTTTTTTCTAACAACAATAAAACGTAATTTGATTGTGTTGTTCTTTTTTTGTAGATCCAATGTTTCAGAAAACTGTGGGAAGGGTACCATCACATTCAGATTTTGAGATGATTAAAAAGATGATGGAGTTCCTTGAGAAGTTTAAGAAGAAAACTGAAAAAGTTTCGTGTTCAACAAAGCCTATCTTCCATACGTATACCCGGGAGATCCTAGATATAGAGCAACATCTTAGGAAACATGAAACCAACCCGGATTTTATGTTTATGGTACCGGATATGAAACATAAATATGACAAATATTGGGGTGACTATGATACTATAAGTGATTATGTCTTCTTTGCGACATTGTTAGATCCTCAATGCAAGTCAAAGTTTATGAAAGTTGTTTTTACCCAAATGCTTAAAGCCAAAAACAAAGATAAAAAGATGTCCGCTGATGAGATAGAATCCAAAGCACGTGCAAAGGTTATTGATATTGAATGCAAATTGGACAAGTTTTTCAAGACATACTTGGAAAGGTCAAACATGACCTCATCGTCTCAACAAGAAACTCCCGAAGAAGTTGTTAATTTTGATGACGAAAACGAATTCTTTGGAAGCTATATGACTTCGGGAAGTTTCCCCTCGACTTCCTCAGAAAGTCAATTGCAACGATACTTAAACGAGGACCCAATCGGATTTGACAAAGGATATGATATCCTCACATGGTGGAAAAATAATGCAGTGCGGTTCCCGATCGTTGCTCGAATGGCAAGAGGTATCGACCTTCTTTTACTCTAATTTAAATTTTTAATTTATAAATTTGTGTCGTGTATTATACACTAATTTGTTTATTAATAGATATTTTGGGGATGCAAATTTCCACCGTAGCATCCGAATCCACATTCAGTAATGGTCGTCGAGTAATTACCGACTACCGTACTAATTTGTCCGTTGTGATTGTGGAGGCATTGATATGCACTCAAGATTGGCTAAGAAAGAGTAGCTTGCCTATATATGACTACGACGAAGTGCACGATGTGTTAGCTGACGATGACCTCGCTATCGGTAATACACTAATACTTGTTACATCTTATTTTTAACTTCTTATTAGTATTTGTTACATTTTAGTAAGTAATAACATTTTTCTTTTGAATTATATATAGACATTGTGGATGCTATACACAACTTGAAGCTAACGGGGAAGAGATCGGGGAATTAGTCAAAATATCAAAGAAATGTTGGAATCCACATATTAGACTTTTTTTTTTTGTTGGTGAAACTTGGAAGTATATTTTGAATGTCGAAAGTGTATTTTGAATGTTGAATGTTTGAATGTTGGATACTTAATAATATAAGTTTGACGACATCCATGTTTAATTTGCTTCAATGTTCAATTGTTTATTAAAATGTTTATTATTAAAATGTTGATTATTTACTAGTATTTAAACATCCACTTCTTCATAAAAAACCAATAAAACGCAAAGTAAATTAGTCGTTGGAATTACTCGAAAAACCGGCAAAAATCGGACCCGAAAAACCAATAAAACGCAAAGTAATTTAGTCGTTGGGTACATCAAAATTTAGCCGGTTCCATACTCGAAAAACCGGCAAAAACCGGACCCGGAACCGGAACCGGTATAACCGGAACCGGTGGAACCGCCGGGCCGGTTCGGTTCTTCATTTTTGACGAAGCCGGTTCCCCGGTCCAGTTCGGTTCGGGCCGGTTCCGGCCGGTTCGGTTCTTTTGCTCAACCCTAAATAAAATATTTCACCGTTTCCAAAAAAAATAAAAAAATAAAAATAAAATGAGAATAAAAAATAGCAAAATCCACCCAAATTTAGATGGAAATAAGCATATTATTACACCATCCCAAACAAACCTACCAAGAATATTGCAAATAATTATAGATTGCATTGATTAGGTATTAATATATTAATAAATCCATTTTCTAGTTATTGTATTCGTAGCAGTTGTATATTGACGGTCAGAATAAATAAAATAGAGAATATTATAAGTGTTTTATTTATTTATTAATAAAGTCTATACCGTTAAAAAAACATAATATACTAAAGTACATAACATTAAATGATTGTTAATGGTGGTTTTTTGCAACAAAACAACAAATGTAATGATTATGAAAACTTAATTCACTGATTCACTTGTTTTGGATTTATTTATTTTTTATACTGTTTTTGAAATGACAAATAATTTAAATATTTTTTGTGTTTAGGATTGAAACCAATACTTTTAGTTAGTTTTTATATTAGAAACCTCATTGTTAGCCAATTGGCTAACCCAACATATATTTTGGATTTAATTAATTAATTAATATATATATATATATATATATATATATATTATATATATATATATATATATATATATATATATATATATATATATATAAAATAATGTATGGCTACAGTTATTAAGAGCTCATTTATTCTTAAAAAATAAATTTATGAACTGCGGTTGAAATTAAAAGAAAAGATGCCCACTCTAATGTTTGGCCCAAATGTAAAGAAAAAACAAGTGGTACACACCTTGTTTGTTAAAAACCAATTATTAAATCATATAAGTTTAGGTAAGGAAGTGATTTTGATATGTATTTTATTTGATATGTAAAATGTATAAGTGATGCATGTACGTTGAGGTCATTAAGATATTTATAAATAGAGCTATTATTACATATAACATTAAAGCATAACCGGCTTATGAACAATAAAAGTTCATTGGTCGGCTCAACTGATTGGTTCTAACCGGAGGTTCTATTGGATTTAATACCATGCTTAAGAGATATATATTTATTTGCCGTTCAAAAAAATCGATTTTGGTTAAAAATGATTAAAATCATCGACTTCAACTTCACGAGAGAAGAAAAAAAATGGTGGAAATGAGAAGAAAATAAAAAATTATTTGTGTTCTCAAATTTCATTAAAACCATCTCCAATCCATTCCTATTTGTGCTTCCAAAAATAGAGTAAAAAATAGGGTAAATAGTGTTTCATCTCCAACACTACTCCATTTTTTATCTCATTTTTACCCCAAAAAAATATATTCTTAGTATATTCTATTTTTCAAACTTATATAGATTGTCAATTGTACCCCTTCTACTAATTTGGTTTTAACAAATATATAATCTATATTTTTTTTATTACAATACTATTAAATAAATAAGATTATATTTATCGCATATAATTATAAGCTTTTGTAAAACACGTTATTGTATTTTAAAATTTCAATATGTATTTAAATTTTCATATGAATTTGATAAACAAAAAATAAAGTTTATCTTATAATTAATTAATATAATTTAATACATAATACAATATTATAAGTATTAAATAATACATTTAAATTATAATTATTAGATAAAATAAACTAATAATGTATAAATATATAAAATCAAAAAATAAAAGAATAAATCATGATAGAAATTAAAACCATAAACATTTTTTATAAAATCAAAAAATATAAAGAATTAAGTTTGAAAAAAATACAATAACCATTTATAAAGATATATAATGTATTATTAAATTACAAAGGATAACATTATTAAACCATGAAGTTAGAAACCCATGAGGCCATGACAACATCATCCACAAATAGAGGTAACGTACAAGTATTTATGCTTCATCCCCCTTATTTTAATTTCTTTATGTTTCCAACCACACAAGAATCTTGTGGCCATTTTAATATTACAAGA